ATGTCTTACATTCCACCTACAGTAGACGTTTCTCCCACATTAGATGCCTTGCAGAATATCCTTACGTCCTACCCGCATGCACACCATGTATTGGCAGGAGATTTTAACTCTCATGCGGAGGACTTCGGATATCCGACCACAGACCCAAGAGGTAGAGAAGTTGTGGACTTCATTGCATGCAACGGACTCATTCTTCATAACGTGCCGGACAGTCTGCCGACCTTCGAGACCCAAATGGGAAAAGGATGGCCCCGACATCACTCTGTCAACAGCGCGTCTGGCTCAGAAAATACAGCACTGGACCGTAAGTGACACTCCCTCAAACTCGGACCATCGCTATATAACGTTCCAGATAGGTCAGCCACATGCGCAGTTTATGAACAAGCGTTATAGAACCAATGGCAGAAAATTAAAACAACTTGTAAGCAGGCTAGGATCCAGTACTAGAGCAGGTGGACGAGGCACTTATGAAATGTCAGAACATAAAGGATGCTGACGACTTAACCACCAGTATGATACGAGATATTCAATCTATCTGTGATGCCACCCTAGGCCTGAAATCACCAAAAGTTTTAAGAGTGGCAAACTGGTGGACGAAAGAGCTCCGTGCACAGCGCAGTCGCACCAGGGCACTTAGGCGTAAGATGAAGAGCGAAAGAGACCCAGACAGGAGGCAAGCCCTTAGTGTTCTTTATAATAAAGAGCAAGCTCAGTACAAAAGGGCAATTGCAGCCGCAAAACTTGCCAGCTGGAGGGAGTTCTGTACTAAGAATGTAGAAGTCTATGGTGCTCTCCACAAGATAGCTTCGAACAAAGTTTACAGACCACCGGAGCTAAGAGCCTTTGCAGGGCAGCAGGCTGGACACATAACAGAAATCACGCTCAGGACAATTCTTGACGCCGTACTTCCGGAAGAGGATATTACAGATCCGTCCGACCACCAGGCGTTATACGCTGCACACATCTGTCCCAGATGATATGCCATTTACGGAGAAGGAAGTCTCCGCAACGATCAAATTCTCCCGAAAAGTAAAGCCCCTGGTCCGGACTCAATAGACTATCCAATCTTGAGAGCAATACATAAAGCAAGATCCGGCTTTCTCACGCGTTATTTTAACAAACTGCTAGCACTGCAAAGCTTTCCGGAACCTTACAAAACGGGGCAGGTTGTGCTCTTTAAGAAAGAAGGGAAGGATCCAAACAGCCCATCCTCGTTTTAGGCCGATTTGTCTTCTCCCGGTAATAGGGAAACTCTATGAGAAGCTCCTAGTCCAGCGGCTTAAATTTCATATGACGCAGAGTGGGGCAATCTCTGACGCACAATATGGATTCAGAGAGCTACGCTCAACGATTGCTGCCCTATCAAAGATAAGAGACTATATCAGCCACTTGCATGAAAGGAAACAGCATGCAGCGGTCCTAAGTCTGGACCTGCAAAGCGCATTTGACTCTCTGTGGTGGCCCTCAATTTTAGAGGCACTGCACCAGTCAAGGATCCCTGATAACCTCTTGCAGGTTTTCAAGCAATACCTGTCCAATAGAAAGTTCATAGTAACACACACTGGCGGTGTCATAACCAGAAGCCAGACAAAAGGCTGTCCACAGGGATCGCGTGCGCGGGTCCAGACTTGTGGAATGCAACTTTCGATTCCATCCTACGATACGAATGGCCGTCCCATACCCAGATAGTAGCCTTTGCGGATGACGCGACCTTTGTGGTGGGCGGCAAGAGTAGAGATGAACTGCAGCAAAACTGCAATGATGTAATTGATACCTTCTCTCGGCTATGTCAGAAAAAGCTAATAATTTCTGAGGCAAAATCGAAATATATAATTTATCATAAGCCAGGCCAAACTTTAATAAGAAACCCAACCATCCAGCTTAATGGGAAGACCATCAAAAGGCTCAGAGAACTAAAACTCCTGGGTATTATATTGGATGAAAAGTTCACCAGGCTGCCTCACCTTAAAGCCCAAAGAGAAAAGGCTCGCCGAATCGCAAACAATCTGCAAAAAATGCAAGGCCCACACTGGGGCCTTCGGCCCAATATCTACAAGATACTTTACTCCACTGTCGCGGAGAGGGTCCTAACCTACGGAGCAGCCATCTGGGCAGCCCCGATGACAGTCAGAAAGGCAAAATTGCTAAGTAGTGCACAGCGACCATTTGTCCTGGCCATAACGAAGACCTACAGGACAACGTCGACTGCGGCCGCTTCGGTATTAGCAGGGCTTATGCCGCTCCCAATCAAAGCGCAGCAAGAAGCCTCAATTGCAAAGGTGACGCAACTCCAACAGCCATGCACATATGGGGATACATGCTATCTGCCAGAAGTCTACGAAACACGCAGGTCCAAACTAAGCACACATCCGTCGGAATATGGACTGGGCATAAGGACTTTCCACTCACCAGCGTTAACCCCGCGCGCTTAGACGGACCAGGGGCCGTGCTTTATACAGACGGGTCAAAAATTGATAACGCTGTAGGCAGTGCCTATATAGCCTATATAAATGGAAACATAGCAAAGGAATGGAAGGGCCGTCTGGGAGCACAGAACTCAGTGTTCCAAGCGGAAGTAGTTGCCCTCACAAAGGCAGTGAAATGGGCAATTGACACACGGCAGAGTCGAGCTACGATATTTACTGACAGCCTGTCAAGCATTTATGCTATCAACAACCCTCTCCAGCGCTCCGCACTAATCTCGCACCTGCAAGAAGTCCTCCGTCTACAAGAAAAGTCAATGAGAATCCAAATTTCCTGGGTGAAGGCGCACGCCGGAATCCAGGGAAATGAAGCAGCAGACGCTCTTGCCAAGAAGGCTGCCCAAAATGAGGAAACGGAGCAGATTCAGGTGCTCCTGCTCCGGTCATGCCTAAAGAGGCAAATAGAGGAGTCCGCCATTGGAAACTGGCAGAATGAATGGGACCAAATCCCGCAAGGCCGCAGAGCACATGAGTTCCTGCCCAAGGTAGAGGTGGACCGGCTCATCTCATCGCCCTACCTCACGCGATATATAACAGGCCACGGCCCCTTTCCGACGTACTTTGCAGAAAGGGGTTTAGCAACAACTGATATGTGTGTTTGTGGCAACGTGGGCTCACCAGACCATTATGTCACGGAGTGCCCTTTAACAGCAGAATGGCACATAAAATTCCCAACTACCAATGTTCTGCCTTTCAAACGCCTTCTCATAAAACATCGAAGCACGCGGCAAAAGCTTAAATGCATAATGGCCAAACTAGAAAAAATGGGCATAGACCTCTGCAGGCCGGAATAGGGCACCTGCAATAAACATAAAAGCATCTTACAACTGTGAAGACACAAGATGGTTGCAGGGCCAGGGTAATACCCGAGTAGTCATAGAAAGCCGTCCGGGTGCCCTGTCCTGCTGTCACCTGTCACCTGTCCTGAAGATCTCGTCTGGAGAGGTATTATGCTGAGCGGGCGGACGGAGCTTCACGTTTTCGACAGATTTTCTGTAACCGGAGAACGCTATCGTCAGGAGGGGATCCTTCCCCATGTGCGTCTGTTCCGAGGTTCCATTGGAGCAAACTTCATTTTTATGGATGATAATGCCCGGCCACACCGAACTCTTGCTGTTCAGAAGCTACTGAAAAATGAAGATATCACTCGAATGGATTGGCTAGCGTGCTCCCTTGATTTAAACCCCATACAACATGTGTGTGCTTTGGGGAGACGCTTGTGACACGATTACATCCTCCGGGGAACACCCAACAACTGAAACAGATGCTGATTGAGGAATGGGCACTCTTACCTCAAGATCTGTTGGACAATCTGGTGCTGAGTAAGGAGAGACCGTTCGAAGCAACGATTGCAGTAAGGGGAGGGCATATCCCATACTAAGGAACACCTGCTTGTTGTTCTTCCTCTTGTACAGACAATCATGTGTAGCGATACTATGAGTTCAATAAAGCCTGTTTTTGTTTGATTCCATACTGTATTTTATTCATTTTTAGAGCAATTACGCTTTCGTCATCATTTAAATACAAAATGTCTCTTAATTCTGAATTTCATGTCTCTCAGATGATTTTTCGTGGAGTTATGCCAAAAAGAACACCTGTTGCTAAAGTTTTGCACACCAGTGTATTTAAGTTTTGACTAACTAGAGTGTTAATCTACTTTCTTATTAAGATTCACGATTTTATGTGTTTTATTGTACAATTAATAAAACTGCATACCATATTTATTTGCATAGTTTTCCACTAGCTATTTAGCACAATATTCTGGAATGTTTTTAAGCGTTCATGTAATTTTCCCTGCCTTAGGGAGTTATAACGCTGGTTCCCCTAAGTTTTGAAATGGATACGTTTAAAGTTTTAAAGTTTTAAAATGGATTCCCCTAAGTTTTAAAAAATGGATACGTAGTAGACATTTACGTCTTATTAAGAGAATTGTTTTTGGACTTTGAGTTGAAGCAATAATATTGCTGAAGCAATTGTTGAAGCAATAATAGCGAAGAGCTTCGGGAAAAAAAAGGAAAGAATAAGGCTTTTGATATCTCTTATAAAGTTATCATCACCTTATAAAAGATATAATAGTATGATGATATTTATATGATGATCGCCTTATAAATATATAATATCGATCTTATGATCGATGATAAGATCAGTGCACGTTAGAAGACAGACTGGGCGACGACTTTCAAGCTGCAGCAGACAATGCAAACAGCAATATCAACAACATTAAATGATTTGAAGCCTAGGGTGTAGCAGTAGGCAAAGGTAACAGCGGGCAAGATTCAAGTTACAGGAAAGTAGAAATGGAGTTATCTTATTAAATATCGTAGTGTTAGTAGTATCTACCGGAATGTAGATTCCTTTTAAATAAGTGTTATTGTAATAGTTACCAAGTATGTTTTAAAATGTTTATTATATGCTCGGTGATAAACTTAAAACGTTAATGTTAGCATACATGCACGTGGTAAAAACCGTAAGTAAAAATTATAATAACTACACTACTGATTGCAGTATATTGCTCACTAGATATTTCTGGATGCGCTGCATGAGCATGTCATCATCCTCACCTGATGTGCGTCTTTCTGTCTCGTTTTCGTTCAGTTTCACCATCATTCCCCCATCTTTGGTTGTTGTGGTATTACCCTGATTGTTCCTCTGCTCGGCTTCTAATAGTAATCCTGTAATACACATTAATGGTGTTAATTTTATTTGTTCCATAAAATAAACTGTGAAATATGAAAATTATCACTCTAACCGATATAAATTGAAAATTGTATTTTATGTTATTTTTGTTTTAATAATTTATTTATCACGCTCTTAAAATGTTCTACATTTTTTCTTTCTGGTAGTATTTAATCATTTAATCATTATCACTTGATCATTTTGCAGATGTTAACATAGATATTAACTTCCCATATTAAAAGACATGGGCTAGAAACATAAGCTATAACCAACATAAGTACACATTTGCAATCATGAAAATCGCCCGCCAGCGGTTAAACAGACTATTGAATCCTGGCAGTTCGATTTGTGAGTTCAATACTTGCCGATCGTACCAACTGCATGAGAGTTTAAACAATTTTTCTCTTACGCAACGTGATTATAGGCCAGTTTCCTTTAGAAAGTCTTTCAGGAAGGGGGCCCACCAGCGGCCGAGCGGTAAAGTCGCTAAACACTGGTAGTTCGGTCCGAGGTTCGAATCCCGCGAACGGGCTGGCTGCATGGGCGTTTTCGTGGTTTTCCCCATGTGTAACGTGTATACGAGCCAGTTTCCCTTAGAAAGTCCTCCACGAAGGTATCCCTCCTCTTAGGCAGATAGCCCTCGAGGCTTTGCCATACTCACACACACACTTTCAGGAAGCAGTCTCTTTCCTTAGGCAATTAGCCGTTGCTTGCAATGCCATTACTTAAAAACCGAAATTTTTCGTAAAAAAATTTTAATAAGCATCGAAATTATTTAAAATTAAAAGTAAATATTGAAGGTTCCATCACATAAGTAGAGGCATTGAAGTATATACCTATTAAAAATTCATTTCTCAAACAAGGAACATATCTTAAATCAGGTGATGCATAAATTATACCGTACAAAAACACACAATAATGAAAGGAAACACTGGCATATATTAAAATATAGAATGATATTATAAATATGCAGTATGTATAAGCAGATATAACGTATGCAAAGTCAAGGCAGAAAGATAATAACAAAAAGTGCTTTTTAGAAATAATAATTATATTAACAATTTTACAATATAACTTTTAATCATTAATTAACTTAATAAATAGTAATTTTATAAGAAAACATTTCATAAATAATAATTTTATAAAATGATTTATAAATAATAATTATTTAATTTTTATAAATGATAACTTTTTCCAAATAAAAAAGGAATTTACTGATTCTTAGAACATAACATCTGGAAATGATTTCTGATCATCTGAAGTCTTCGGAAATTCATTTCGAATTAGATTTTGTTAAAATTGATTCTTATTATCTAGAACGATTATGTGAAGTGAGAGTGATTGTAGAAAGTAGTAAAGCAAGATTTATCAAAAAATATTTTATTTAAATTAATTTTGAAAGTTTTTTTTTTAATTTAATTTTTTTATTTCACTCTTTGAGGGTTATGTACTAGTTCCAAATTATAAGAGAATAATTACTCCTTGTCCTTTTGTAAACATTCTGGATCTCATACGAGTACTTGGTATCTTAAAATTACTTCAAAATATAATTTACTTAATTTTATATTAAAAGAAAATAAATTAATTTACATTTACTTTAAAGTATAATGTTCATACTATTAAATTTACTTTCATACTTTGTCAAATGTAAGAAATGAATGTTACAATTTGTACTTACAAAATGTCAAGTTTATGTGTATGAGATTTTATTATATGCAATTTGTTTTCTCCTTATCTTTAGTTTCTAAATAACTCAGTCTTGTTCCTCATTAAAACCACTTCGTTTTTGAAGAAATACCATAAATATTTAACATATGAATTGCAATTTATTTTGAAGTATATACTGATATTAGTTACAACTTTATTTCTTCTTTCTGACTTCCAATTATGGTCAGACTAGTTTACAGGCGATTCTGTAAATACGTTTTAATTTGGTTCGTATAAAGTGCTCTAATTTCGCAAATGAAATTAAGAAACAAATTCCATTGCAATTAAAGAGTACTTGTCTTCTTAAATAACGCTTAAACTCTCTCCCAAATGTCTTAGAATTCATCTAGTTTTCCTAACGGACTGTAAATTATCCAGCCTTTTAAATTCCCAAGAGCCACTTAATGTCTCTTTTACGATTTCCAGCAGCAATCGAATAAAGGATAAATTTACAAAATGTAATTAACTAATTGAATCACTTAAGCATCTAACGATTGGAGAATTTTAATTTTAATAAGCATTATTATGTATATATATGTAACTTAATACCAAGAAAAGAACAAGTTCATTTCATCTGAAAGTAATGTGTTCAAACAGGAGGATCGATTTAATGAAACATGCAATTCTTCTGCAAATGCCAAATTCAATAATTTTCAGGATTATAATAATGATATTTATACTGTAATCATTTTCATATTTCGCTCCAGTCAAATTTTAAATAATATTTTCTCATAATATTTTTGTACGATTTCGCGTTTATGAAAATGCTTTATTTCAATTAAGCGCACTAAATTCTTATTGTTAACTAACAAAAGACAAAAATTACGAAGGTATCTTTTGTTTTTAAGAGAACAAAATAAAAACAAAATAATACTGCTCAGTGTTTGGTTTCTGAAATTATCACAAAAATCAAGGATTTAATTAGGGAAGAGCATGCAGAATTAGGGCATTTTTGTAGAATGTCTTCAATGATAAGAAAGAAAACCTAGGGAGTTCTAATCAGGCAGGCATAAACTTGGATTTGAAGCTATTTACATTAGCCAGAGAAGATGACAAGCCGTAGTTCTCACATTAAAGCATATAAATTACACACAGAAATTTTCTGATTCAAGACTCAATACGATATTAAGTGTATATTACATACACTGCATATTTATCATATCATTCTTTATTTTAATATATGCCAGTGTTTCCTTTCATTTTTGTGTGTTTTTGTAAGGTATTATATGTTCAAACTTTGGGAGCACTACAAAAGTTTCCACTAGAAATTAATGAAAACTGTGTTTTCGTTTTATTCCATTTTAGTCTATGGAAAGTCTCATATGAATACATATTTGCACAGACGGTAAATTTATAAAAACCATTTTCGTTGTTTGAGATAATTTTGAGTTATATTAGATTGTTAAAATATTAAGAATTTTTCGAAAATAGTAAAGAGCGATCCTCTCTCTCTCTCTCTCTCTTTTTTCAGAACTTTTTTCAGAAAAAACTTTTTTCTCTTTTTTCAGAAAGACGAACACATCTAGCACAGGAAGTACAAACACTTATAATTAAGCAGTCATCAATGAATGGCCAAACCTATCGGTCATTTAGCCGATTTATCATCCGAAAGCGTTGCCACGATGTACTCCATGGAGCAACGGATATTACATGCGCAAGAAAGAGGGACAGATAATTACTTGTATAAATCCGGAGATATATGAGTAATTATACTCGGAGATTAAGAACAGGGCTATATAAAATCCGATTCTACTGACCACCATATCGATTTGGAAGGCTATGTAGAATAGTGAAAATCATAATATGCAATTTATAGAGAAATGCAACCTATAAAGAGGTCAGTTTCTTTGTTTTTTAAAGTAAAACTTATAAAAAGGTAATTTTCTTTGTTTAAAAAAATTAAGAAAGAAATTTATAGAAAACAATTTTTAAAATAATATTTTAAAAAAAAAAACTATAATAAAGCTTCGCCTTTCAACAAAGCTTCGTCTTATAATAAATGTAAAAGCTTGTACTTAATTTTAGTTCACATTTTTTAAAGCATATTTTAAGATTCTAAATATAAAATTCATAACAATATGAATTCAAAAATGAATATAAAGTACTTTAGATCATCACTTATTTCTCATATTGAAGTTTTCAAACGTTAACTGATACAAGACTTCACAAATGCAAGACTCACACCTGATCGACGTGAGAAAACAATTAGCAAATTATTACTAAATATACATCATTTGAGAAGGCACATGCAAGCCGCAATTTCAGTGGGTTTTATTTTTCACTGAAATTTGGACACACGAGAAATTCAAATAAGATCAAAATTTCTGAATTTAATTAATCATTATTATTATTTAACTAGTCATTTCTATTTTATTATTCATTAATCCCTATTATTATTTAATCCTTCATTATTATTCAGTTATTCATTGCTATCGTTATTTAAGTAATCATTGCTGAAATTTATAAGTCATAGAATTCCTATTATCCGGACTCCCTATTATCCTATTATCCGGATTCCTATTATCCGGAACTTCAGTTCTCGCTTGTTTTCTATCTGAGTCAGTAAAATTAAATTTGGACTTAAAATTAAGTATTTACACTTTCTTAATAACATTATAAAATATCACTTATTTTAAAAAGTTCTTAAACGAACTATGCATTCAAACATACATCGAAATTACATATATGATCATCACATAAAGACCTCACACACACAAAATTATTATTTGATCACTTATTATTATATATTCATTGCGATCATTATATAATTAATTACTGTTGAATTTTATCATAACAGGATTTCTCTCATCCGGACACCAGATACACGGAACTTCAATTCTTGCTTATCTTCTTTTTGGACTCAGTAAAATTAAATTTGGACTTAAAATTAAGTTTTTCCACCTTTTTAGTAACAGTCAGGTTATTTGAAGCACTATTGCACAAATGAAATTTAATAGTTTAAATTGGATTTGTTTACCATAGCGACACTCTGGCACTAGATTCACTGAACAGTATTATATTTCGTTCAGATTATAACTCATAATGCACAAAATTTATATCATTTAAAGAATAGAATTATCTAATCGTGGCCACATGTTCTATTCAAATATTATAATAAAGCCAGAATGATGTATAAAAGAAATTAAGCAAACAAAACAAAAAAGAAACAGTTTTTCACAGACGATTGAGTATTTCTCATTCAATTAATTCAGTTATCACTTCGCGAGAAGGCAAAAATACATAAAAACTCAAAATATCTATATTAAAAATTACGAAGTAAATCTTAAACACTTATTTCCCCAAAACAATTCCAGAAAGGATTAAGCATGATTTAAATTGCAATAATAAATAAAGGCGTTATCTTTGTTGTTGCGAAGCTAAGTTCCTCTAGATTGGCAACAAATGAACTAGTCTGCTGTTTCAAATGTAAACAATCAATGGCCGCCCCAAAAAAAAAAGGCTTAGCGGCACTTAAACAAATTTAAAATTGTTGATAATTCTAAAAATATTGCATACAGATTTACTAAAGGCATAAAACCCTTAACCGGAAGATAAAACAACATAACTCAATCATTTTTAAAGCAAAAAATTTACAATTAGAACATATACGAGTAAAGAAACTGAGATCACTCAGCCGGGTAACAGAGTGGATATATATATAAATATATTTATATACGTTTGGTGCGACCGATTGCAACCAAAATACGAGGTGCACATCTACATCTTATAGCAGTCCTATATACAAAATTTCAACGTTCTGAGGCTACTCGTTTTTGAGTTATGCGAGATACGTACGTACATACGTTCGTACAGACGCCACGAAAAATTATCTTTAGAATTCATTTTAAAGCGAATTTTTTATAATTTTTTTTGGAGGAGTAGAGTCTTTTATTATGTCCTTACGTGCAGATATCACACAAAAACATCGTTAAATTGCATTCGATAGCGGTCAAAATGAAATTTTAAGAAAAATTCTAGGAAATTCAACGAAAATTCGCGATATTTTCGTTAAAATATGCTGCCTGAAACTTTTCGCGATTACAATACTTCCTTTTTACTACGTACAAGGAAGTAAAAAGGCTAGATTGAGCACGTTGATTTGAATTTTTGAGTATTGTCTAAAAGCCTTTTAAAATTAATTTTGAAACCGCTGTCGAAGAGTTTTTCTATTTCCAAACATATCATTTCTTGCCAAGGGTTGAAAACAAAATTTAATAGAAGTAGCGGAAGAATTAGGCGAGGACGTGCAGCTAGGTCCCAGAAATTAAAAAAAAATAACCACTGAAAGTCAGTTTTACGATGAGGAAGAAGTTAAATTAATTCTAGACCGAATAATTGCTGAACGCCTGGCTCGAGAAGAGAGAGAAGAACGCGTAGCTCAAGAAGCGAGAGAAGAACGCCTAGCGCAAGAAGCGAGAGAAGAAAGCCTGGCTCAGGAAGCGAGAGAGAGACGTCTGGCTCGATAAGCAAGGGCATATGAATTGGAAATAAAGCGGCTTGAAATTGAAAATCAAGTAATACAAGCTAGAGAATCAACAACGAATATTGTAGAATCAAGCAACAGTACAAAGATTAAAATTCTACCTAGATGGACCTCATAAGTTTATTATTCAGACTGATCATAATCCTCTAGTATGGTTGGATAAAAACACTGGACTAATCCTGGACTATAACGGTGGGCTTTTACCTTACAACCTTTTAACTATGAAGTTGCGCATAGGAAGCACCATGAAAATGCTGACAGTTTAAGTCGTTGTATCCGAACTTCTCACAACTAAAAATATGCATTCTAGGAAGTTTAAAACTCCATTGTTTAAACTTTCGTAATATTAGAATATTACATTTTATATGTTTATTTAAACTGAACATCTTTCTCTTGTAAAAAACATTAATGTTTTTAAACTGATAATTTTTCTTGAAAGATCCATCAATTTGACGTGAAGGAAGGAATTCAAGACTGTTACGTATTTGCGTTGCTATTCTACCAACACAATTCCACTAAGAAATGTAAATTACCGCAGACGATTATCCGCAAAAAATATCCGCAGACGATGCACGCGCTTAAAAATGTTTTTGAGTTATTCTGTAAGTTTTGACTAATAAAAATGGTTGTTCGTTCAAAAATGGCGAGATTTCATTACACTGGGTTTCATATTTGAAGGTTGTGCTACAAATCTTTCAATCAGTTTTGGCAGATATACTTCGGTGTTCCGTATAAAAAAATCTTACATTAGTTCCTGGTAACCTGTTGATGGCGGGAACAATTGTGTACATTTGTAAAGTTACAGCTAAAGACCTGAAACAAAATCAAGTATCCAGTTGAGATCTCTATAGTATAGCAATTTGAAGTAATGAGGGTTTGAAACGTATTCTGCAGGTAACTGGAGCACTATGATTGTAGAGAACATAAAACATCTTTTTGCTAATTGAGAATTTATGCAACAAAACCGCAACAGAATTTTACAGTGCATGAAGTTTATAGTAGTCAGGCTATCAATCTTAGCATAGTTTTCCATCGAGCTGCCCGCTTTCATGAAGCAACGTGTGAAAAAATATCCCAAGCTCCAACAAATTCACTAACATCAGCATACCGTATTTTGAGAAAAGCTTTGTGGAAAAGAAGCTTGTGACCTATAGGTTCCTTAGCGCTTGACACAAATTTATTAAAACTAAGATTTTATAACAAAAGCTAATTATTTCGTTCTTGAATAATCTGAAGAAGCGTGGTTAAATGATTTTTATCCATTTTCCGCACGACCCAAAAATTTTAGCAAGCAAAATAAGAATAAGATAAATAATGATTTCTGCTTAGGACCACCACGGAGTGTTCCAAGCGAAAAGAGCGTGATTGCAGCATATTATTGGGAGCGGCTGCAAACAATTTACAGAAAAAGGCACAAAATCCACCTGACTGGCTTGAAAATGGGCATGAAAAGGTTGTAATCAAATACCAACAAGAAGTTTTACCTCACCCATCATACAGTTTACATATGATTCCACCAGACCTTAAATATGTGTCTAATTTGGTAGAGTTCTTCTGAGTAAGTATTTCTTTCCTGAAAGAAGTTTTTGTCAGTGACTAACCAAGCATTGAATAAAAGCAGTCCCCACAAAAAATAGCGAAGCATTTAATCGCGGCTCTTGACAAGCAGGGGAACTATAGGAATTGCAAGATAAACTGCCTGAAGTACAATAACATGTAAGAAAAACATTTGCAGTTCATTATTTTATAAACAACTTTCGCATTTGTCTTTTTGTACTAAGGATCAGAAGATGGCCATTATACGGTCTAAAAATACCGACACTTATAATTCGCACAAATCGAATTATTTACTAGTTTATTTGTTACTCTGACGCTTAATGTACGATGAACAATTTGAAATTAATAAAATTATTGCACACATAAATGAATTTTAAAAAATAAATTACTAATTGATATAGCTGTGCGACATTCCACAGTTTCTGTTCTGAGCTGCAAATATATAGTATTTCAAAAATGAAACGACTGACTGTTGCAGGAGAATCGTATTTTAAGGGATCAAAGAGCCTCAAGCGGCTTGTGAGGCGCAATTAAGAGGCCCAGGTTATCGCAATACAACCAAATGCAATACATTATCTGCATTTAATTTCTACAGTGTAGCGGAAATTAATGCGGTATAAATAAATAATCTAAAACTCTTCTAATTTCAAACTAGCTTAACAAAGAAACTTAAATAGATTGTCAAATTAAATTAGGAATCTTATTCTAATTGGTATTAAAATAAATAAAAATTTAAATGTCTTTAAACGGAAGAATTTATTCAAAGTAAGAAGCTTATGTTTCACTTTTCATTCATTTAATGCAAAAGTTAAATTTTATAGATACCTGGACAATGATAAATGTGTCCGTCAGACCTTGGTGGCCTTGGTGTCCTTTTAACTGTCGCATATAAGGGCTCCTCCTGTAACTACCAAAAAGGACAATCAGCAAATGCAAATTTACAAACTAATAGTATTAAAAATTATGTCATTAAAAGAAAAATTACATGCTTCATAATTTATAATAATTTAAAAATTATGAATCTATTTCCATACATCAGGCTTTTATTTAAAAATGTATAAGTTTGTTTAAAGTAGCTTTATTGCTACAGAAACAAAATAATTAATATATATACCTTAAATTCAAAAATATTTGTCTTTAAAAAGTGTATTTTAAAAAGCATAGGCGCATAAATCTATTCTAGCACATATGCCGCAAAGTGAAAAGTAAAATTAAAGTTTTAAATAATCAAGTTTTCATAATCAGTGATAATTTTTTTTCACCACCTTTTATTATCATTTTTAATTATAGTATATAGTGCCTTGTTCAGTAAAGGCGGATAACAAATGTGTATAATAGATGTTACAACTCTATAACTGTGACTCATCAGTTGAACTAGTATGTCTGAATTATGGGATTATGAACTTATTTCTTTCTTTCTAACAACAATTTCTGGAAATTTCGTTAAAACTAATTTTCAGAGCTCTGGAACGTAATATTTTAGATGGCAAGCCAAACCAACATACGCTGGTATGTATGAAGTGCGACTGTCGGTCACAGTTTTGAGTTACTCCACAGTACGGATTAAGAGTTAGCTGAGTGATATGCAACTTAGAGTATGTTGTGCTGAGGAATATGAATAACCTGCGATAGTTTTCGAATCTTAAGGAGGATTTGCCTTATCTCTACTTCTCCCTGATTTATCCGTATCTGCTAATTTTTCTGTGTACTGCCATTTCAGTAATAAACTATCAATTTCTGCCTGTTTATCTAGAATAAGTATTTGAAGAGGTCTGCACGAATCCGTAACTTACAACAACATTCGATTTTGTTATATATCAGGCATGGCCAAGCTGCGGGTCTCCTACACCTTAACTGCAGCTGCCAATCTACTTGTGGCCCTTGGCCTCTTAAAAGTGATTTGCCTGCAACAAACAATAGCGTAATTTTCAAAATATCACTGGATTTAAAAATATAAATCATACAATGACACGTTTCTTTCTAATCCTAAATTTAATTTCTTAAATTATATTATTATTGTAATCATTTAATTGATTTCAAACTATCCGCAGCACGCTTGCGCCAGGAAAAGGAAACAAAAATGCAAAACATTCAGTTTCTGCCAATTACTATCACGGCCATGTTACTTTTAGAAAAGATAATGACGCAAATCACACATGTGGACAAGGAGGTACTTCTCTAATATTTATCTCTCAAGTTAATTTTATTTCAGATAATATCGCTTGTATTCATTCTGTATAATCCCTTTTGCTTTACACCAATCGTAATGCAATGTCTTGAAAGATAGGCTTTTGTGGGGTACTACATTTATTTTGTCCTTGAATGGCTTAGGTACTCGGATAACAAAATCAATTGACTTTCTTTCAAAACTCTTTCAAAGAGAAAAAATAATTATTGAAATAATTATTTTTATTTTAATATTATTTGAAAGATAAATTATTTCAAATAGAAATAATTTATTATTCTCTATTATTTATCTAATCTTTCTTATGCAACTTCGCCATAATTTTCGCAACCACTTTAATAATATGCTGCAGTTAAAAAATTTTCCGCATGAAACTCTGTCTTTCATAAGAAATCCATAATTCTAGGCAGAGATCAACATTTATTTCACCAGTGATTGCACATATTGAAATTCAGGACGATCAGTTTAGTTCCGATCAAGGCTTCAATTTCAAATCCAGTCAAAGTTCTTAATTCGCATTCTGTCATTGCCATTTTTCGAAGGATAAACCCTTCATGTTTATTGTAGAGTACTATTTGTATAAAAGTTTTACTCAGCGTTCTTTGGACACTTCTTGAATGACAAGCGAATTATTGCTCCAGTCTGAATTCAAATCATAAAATGTTATAAAGATTAAAATAACATTTTTATTAAACTCTTTAAATTAATAGAAGGAGCTACTTGTGCTGCAAATGAACCTTCACTCTTTTCGGGTATTTAAAATAGGATGATATTAAATTCAATTTAGGAAACGTAGTCTGAGTCTACCCGGCAAAATACACTACTTAAGCTGCCTATGGTAATTAAGAGTGCATATTTAAGCGTCGGCTAGCAAGATTGTTAAAGCCGAAATAAAAACTTGGCAGAGTTAGCGATAGTACGTAATTGCAAAAGAAGACTGTCAAAAGCTCTAACTTTAAAGTATTCCAACGTTCGCTTTAAAAACTCAACAATTAATTTGTATTCTGGCGATAACTGCGGAAAAAAGATAAAGTAAAGGTTCAAATCGTAATAAGCTGGCTGTTGTACCTCTCACATACAGCGAGGATAAGTCTGGCAACAGCTGCAGGAAGAAAAACTTGGCAGTGCTGGAATGGCAACAGCGGATGATATTCTATTATATTTTAATTTTGAGTTAAGGTTTTTTGTGTCTTTTGCGATACTGTTGCGTTATAACATTTGAGTTTTAGGTGAATGAAATGGAATCCGCTGCCCCGCTGCGGATATTAGTAATATATATTTAGAAAATTAGCTGCGTTGAATAGGATGAAACCCATGTGTTTGAATTTGCGGTATTTTTCCTCCTAAAGTTGCGTCGAGTTCAGATCATTATGCCAGGCTTATTCACGCTGGTGCAGATAAGTTCAATTTTTGTTATTGTGTTTATAGTGTATAACTTGCAAAGATATGAATAGAATTCTATAAAATAAACATTTAAAATTCTGGAATGGTGTTTTAAAATTTTAGATGTAGAGTATTCACTTTGCTATGTCGGAGCCAGTGGCAGTCAGGTGTAAAGAAAAATTGTTTTTGCTCCACGACATAACAAAATGGCGAGCCAGCCAGGATTGCGATCCTGATTCGAATGTATTGGGATTATTATATTAATATAGTTGAGAAAGTATTGTGTTTGCTATATTATATTATTGTAGAAGTAAATGTTAATTTTAGTGTATTTTGGAAACGTAATGCGTTTTGTCGTCTGCAATGTTGAATTTCGTATTTGTATTCGAATTGTTTCAATATTCAATCGAAATGCTATGCGTTAAATCGTCTGCAGTGTAAACGTAGAACAAGGTTATGCGTTAAATCTTCTGCGGTGCTATTCAAATAATTTTGTTTTGCTGTATTATGAATGTTATGACATATTGTTATTCATTTTTTTATTTGAGTTATATTTTGGAATTGCTGAGTAAAAAGATGTTTTTGAGGATTTGTCGGATTAATGATAACATTACAGATTTTGAGTTTTAAGAGGGTCTGCATTTAAAGATAAAATGGATGTTGATATGTTGAAGAAAAAGCGTGCAACGGCACGCAGGCTTTTACTAGGACGGCTAAGATTCTAAAAACCGAACTTTGTAAAGATGTTCAAGCGGATAGAGATGTATTGAAAGACAAAATTTTGAAGTTGCAGATGATAATTGCTGAGTTGAGATCTTGCGATTCAGAAATACTAGATTCAATGATTAAAGGAAAGGCCGCTGAAGATGAGCTGGAAACAGAGGTCATAGGCTGCGAAGAATATTTAGATGAGTTTATCACGCTTAATCGTCGGGTGAAAGAGAATATATATAATGCGGTTGACCGTAGTTCTAACACGGATAGTAGCATAAGTGCTTCTAATGAAAAACGGTACAAGTTGCCGAAAATTTAAATTAAAAAATTCGATGGACAATTATTAAGTTATCTTACATTTTGGGGTCAATTTAAAAAGATCCATGAGGATAAGGAGCTTAATGACGTTGACAAATTCCATTATTTAGCTCAATCAATGTTACCCGGAACTCGGGCTAGTGAGCTGATAGATAGTTATCCTTTAACGGCTGAAAATTACCCGAAAGCAATTTCTGCTTTGAGGATCGTTTTGGAAACAAGGAAATTTTAACTGAGATACATGTGAGAGAATTGTTAAAATTAATTATCCTACATGTACGCTCACAAGGGAAGGATCGGTTGCCGCTAGTGTCACTGTTTGACAAAATCGAATCCCATCTCAGATCTCTAGAGTCTTTAGGCTTAGCCCTGGATACTAATGTTTCCTGGTTATATCCCATGGTCGAGTCTTGTCTGTCTGCTGAGATGCTTCGAGTATGGCAGAGAAGCGTTTTGTTCAGTAAAAAGGATCACGTCTCGCAAATCTCCTTGAATTTTTGCGTAAAGAGGTCGAAGGAGAGCAGAGAGTTAAACTAGTCAGGTCTGGATTTGAAATTTCTTCTACTACTCTTTCGTGCAATGAACATTCTAAATGTAAAAGTTAAGACCAAAAAACCAATCGCTAGCGCACCAAGTCTAGTTGCTGTCAAAGAACAAAAATGTGTTTTTTGCGGAAAATCTCACGAAAGCAAGAATGTTTTTACAGCTCGATCGATGAGCTTAAAGGAAAGATTAGACAAATTAAGAGAATTAAAATGCTGCCTCCGCTGTCTTAAACCAGGGCATTTTGCAAAGAAGTGTCCACAGTTTAAAATACCATTTGTGGAGGCATATCACGCATACCTAAAGGATCGTTATTGAAGGAATTAAAAAGACGCAGAATTTGGATTTCAGATGTCGGTGAGGGTCACCCGGAAATAGAAATCCTCATAGGGAGTGCTATTTATGGGCAAATACTTACTGATGAAGTAATTCAGCTTGAGGGTGGTTTGACAGCCATAAATACTAAACTGGGATGGACGCTGTGCGGTGAATCGAAAAGAACGATTATCCAAAGTTTTGAGGGTACCCCATCTATGTTTAGTAACTAATCTTCTTATTCAAGACATGGGACCTTTCCTTTACGTGGAAGTTAGAAACTATCGGCATTGCAGATGATGCGCAAAGCATTTCCAGGGTCGCAGAAGATCAAGTAGCGAAAGAGCAGTTTCTTAGGGGCCTTCGCAGAACCGGAGATGGTAGATATTGCGTGAGTTTACCTTGTGGCTCTAAAATTTCCGTCCTGATATTCCCTCTAACTGGGATAT